GCCTTGTAATCCCCAGCACGTTTTGGGAGGTCCGAGGTGGCGGACATGAGGTCTAGGATCGAGAACCATCCCTGGCTAACACGGTGAAACCCCATCCTCCTACAGAAATCACAAAAAATTATCTGGGCGGGTGGCGGCGCCTGTAAAGTCCCACAGCTACTCGGAAGTGAGGCAGGAGAACAGCCGTGAACCCAGGTGGCGGACTTGCAGTGGCGGATCTGCGCCACTGCACCTCCAGCCTGGGCGACAAGAGTGGAGGCTCCCGTCTCAAAAAAAAAAAAGATAATACACGATCTGCAGCAATGAGAAATCATGCATACAGCACCACACCAATTTTGGCAACCTAACTCCACACAAAATGACACACATTAAATGATGTGAAAATAGAAAAACAAAGTGGCTGCTATAAACAGCATCTGTGCTGCTTGAAACCAGCTTGACCAATATAGGGAGACCCTGTTTCCACAAAAAAAGAAAAAAAGGTTTCTAATTAGCCACATGTGACGGAATGTCTCCGCAAAAAATTAAAATAAATAAAAATTAGCTGGACATGGTGGTGTGCCCCAGTACTCCCAGCTATTTAGCAGGCTGCGGTGGGAGGATTGCTTCAGCCCAGGAGTTTGAGGTGGTGGTGAGCTATGATCATGCCACTGCACTCCAGCTTTTTTTCACTGAAAGAAAGAAAGAGAAAGAAAAGAAAGAAGAAAGAAAGAAAGGGCGGGGGAGAGAGAGAAGACAGAGAGAGAGAGCAAGCAAGCAAGCATATATGTCTGAATTTTTTTTTTTTTTTTTTTTGAGACGGAGTCTCACTCTGTCTCCAGGCTGGAGTGCAGTGGCACAATCTCGGCTCCCTGCAAGCTCCGCCTCCCGGGTTTACGCCAGTCTCTTGCCTCAGCCTCCCGAGTAGCTGGGACTACAGGCACCCGCCACCTCGCCCGGCTAATTTTTTGTATTTTTAGTAGAGATGGGGTTTCACTGTGTTAGCCAGGATGGTCTCGATCTCCTGACCTCGTGATCCGCCCGCCTGAGCCTCCCAAAGTGCTGGGATTACAGGCGTGAGCCACCGCGCCCGGCCTATATGTGTGTGAATTTTTAAAAGGTGCCCCGTCTGGGTAGAAGCAGCCCTTTTGAACAGGGGAGGCTTGATGGGCTGAAAGAATGGATAAATGAATGAATGAACAAACACATGAATAAATGAAAGTATGGACAGAATATGAGAAGATCCCTGCATGGACCAGTGAGGATGATGCACCATGCAGAAGGTGGAGGGGCACATGTTCAAAGGTCTTTAAGGGCTAACATTTACTCTAGGACTTGGGGATTGTACTTCTAGAATTTGTTAGGACAAAGTAACCCCCGCTACCAGACCACAGTTATTAGCACCTCCCATTTGCATCTCCAGGCTCAAGGGGGGCTGATGATGTGGGGTCTGACCATAACACCAGGTCCTTGGCTAGGGAGCACCTCTGCCAGTCCGTTTCTCTCCTTGTCCCTGCAGTCTCCATCAGTAATCTTCCCTGTTGACTCCTAGGTCAGCGATACTTCCTAATGTTCAGCAGCGTGTGGGTAGCTCTGGGGCTCTCTCTGACCTGCACCTCAGCCCTCAGCCTCATCTCCCCTGCCTGGTTCCAGACCCCAACCTTCTCCTTTGGCATCCTCACCTACTGCTCCTGGCCTCAGGGCAACAGCTGGAACCAGAGCTGCGCAACCTTCAGTTCCCTGGAGGATATTCCTGACTTTGCCTGGAAGGTGAGAGCTGGTTCACCAAGTCACTGGGTCTTCAGGGGCTCGGTTAAACTCATCAGGGTAGGAAAGCTGGCTGAGTGGAATTCGAGGAGGCTTTCCTCGCTGCCTAGGTGTCCCAGTGGCTACGAATTTGCCATTACTCTCCTTAGAACTGAGCACAGAGGTTCTTCAACCTGACAGCCCTTCAGAAACACCTGTGCAACTTTGCAAAAATGCCAAGTTCTGTGCTCCACCCGGAGCCCCTGTCTCCATAGGCGTGGAGTGGGGTCTGGCTACTGATAATTTAGCAAACGTGCAGGATGATTCCAAAGGCAGCTGCCAGCCAATATAGCACCTTCGTGCAAATTAGGAAAAGGTGTCCCTTCTTTAGGATGCTCTACTGCCATCTGCTGGAAAGTCACTGTAATCAGTTTGCAAATCTACGATGGCCCGCAATGCGCCTCTGAGAGTTGTGCAGTGTACAACCTGCACACTCCTACCTGGCCACCCTCTAAACACTGCTAGGTTTAAAAGTGAAAGAGCTAAGGTGTTAAAGTCCCTGTTATGATGCACGTTGCCAAAATCAACAATGGGGAGAATGGGAAAGGACTCCGAGTCCAGCACGTCTAAGGAAGAATATACAGTTTTCAAAATTGATCGTTATAAGGGTGATGTAACGGCAGCTACCAGGTGCCTCTCCTGATGATCCTGACACGTAGCAAGTGCTTAATAAAGGTACTATATGCTGGTCAGTCAATGTGGATCTTAATTCTGGCTCTACCACTTAATTACCCATGTGTTCTGAGGCAAATGACTTCAATTTCTTGGACTTTTATTGGACAGTTTATTTTCTTGGACAGTTTCTTTCTATGTAAAATGGAAATTGTAATAGCACAGACCGCATGCTGCAAGGACTCAGAAGCTGGTCAATGAGCAGAGGGAGCGTCCACCTGCCCCTGTCCCAGCCAACACCCTTCCTTCTATCTCTTCCCTGCAGGTCTCAGCTGTGATGCTCCTCGGAGGCTGGCTCCTGCTGGCCTTCAATGCAATTTTCCTCCTGTCCTGGGCTGTGGCCCCCAAAGGGCTGTGCCCAAGAAGAAACAGTGTTCCAATGCCGGGGGTGCAGGCAGTGGCAGGTAAATCCAATGCACAGGCACACAGTCAGTGCTCTAGACATATTTATGGAATGAATGAATGAATGAATGAATGAATGAATGAGTCTGTGAGCAGAGCCTGGCCTCTTGGGTCAAATCTCAGAGATAAACCCTAAGATCGTTGACTATTCCTGGTCCTTTGGCAAGCCAGAAATCAGGGGGAGGGAGAGATGGCATCCTTAGTGTCACCCATTCCTGCTGTTAGCTGACCCAGTCTTAATAATCTGTCCCCCTTTGTTTCTCTCTCATCCATCCACTTCATGTCATCCTTACCAGGGCCCCCATACACAGTTGGGGATGTTGTGCACTGTGCAAGCATGTCCAGCTGAGAACTGAGGAGGTACTGAAATCTAGCCAATACTTCACTTGCTAAACTGTGAACCTGCAAGACTGCATCTCTCGAGAAGAGTCACTTTTCTGTAATTTATACATAGCTTTTGAATGTACTAGCCAGGTCTTCATTGCAATCCTCATTCAATTAATGCTCCACCATCTCTTGCCTGGATTATAGCAATAAGCACCTGACAGGTCTCACTGCTCTCACTCCTCCCCCTTAGTGTCTATTTGGCCACACACTGGACAAACGCGTCCTGTTCAGTTGACATCAGATCGTGCCACTCAGACGGGCTTATCCACCCTCCAATCACTTCCCATCATACTCTGATTAAAATCCGAACTTCTTACCGTAGCCTATGAGGCTCCACCTAACCCAGTCCCCAGTCTCTCACCAACCTCATCTCTTCCTTCCTCCGCCAGGCTCCGTGTGCTCTGGCTATTCTGATTTGCAGTCTGTTGCTCATATATACCATGCTTTCTCCCTCCACTGGACTCCTCTTTCCCCAGGTTTTTGCAGGTCTTGCTACTCACTTCATTACGGGCTCTGCTCAGATATCACTGCCTCCATGAGGTCTTCCATGACTTCTAGCTAAGGGAGCTTCCCTCTCCTTAGATTCTCCATCTTCTTACTTTGCTTTATACCTTTCATAGCATATACTTACCTGAAATATCGAATCTGCCTAGTTGATTATTGTCCCTTTCTCCAAAGAACATCAGTTCCATGAGGACAAGGACATGTCTGTCTGCCTTGTTATCACCAGCCCTTAGCACAGTGCTTCATACATAATAGGTGCCCAATAAACATTTGCTGAGTCAATTGATGGAGACATGATCCTTGTCCTAGGCTTGCTTGCAGTGTCTAGTTGGTTGGGGGGTTGGAGGGCATCAGTCAATGGATATTTCACATGATGGGGATGAGCAAAGGATGCTAGAAAAAACTCCAGGAAGCACCTGGTCCAGTGTATGGATGGGCCCAGTGTATGGATGGGTTAAGGCAAGTTTCTTGGAGGAGGTCTCACCTGAGCCAAGTCTGGAAGGATGAGTAGAAGTTAGCCAAGAGTACAAGCAAGGGCGTTTCTGGTAATGGGAATATGAAGAACAAAGGCACGGAGACAAGGGAGCAAGGCATGTTCAGGGAACTGAAAGTAGACAAGGGTGGCTGGAGAGCAGCAAGGGAGGCCAGGGATCTTCTGATTTCTGTTATGAGTGCCTTGGAAGCAAGAAGGTGTCCAGTCATTTCATTAGTATCATTAATGTCCACTGCAACACCTCCAACAGTTTTGATGAATGAACACGTGGTTGGATGGGTAAGCTGGTGAATGGATGAATGAGTGTATTGACAAGTGGATGGATGAACTGATGGACAGATAGATGGATACATTAGTAGATGGATACATTAGTGGATGGATGGATGGACTGGTGGATGGATGGATTGGTGGATGGATGAATGGACGGATGGAAGGATAGGAAAAATGGATAGAATGGAATATAGTTGGATGGATGTAGGATGAGGGATGGGTGGATGGGTGGATGGATGGATGGGTGGGAGGCAGGTGGCTAAGCAGGCAGATGGACAGATGAGTGGATGAGTGAATAAATAGGTGGATAGAGGGATGGAGAGAATAAGTGGAGTTGAACATGGTTGAGTGGATGTATGAGCAGATGGACAGAAGGGTGGGAGTGTAGTTGAGAGAGTGGGTAGATAAAAGGAGAGATGAGCCAATAAATAAGTGAATAGATGGATGGGTGGGCTAGGGAATTGCATAAATGAGTGGGTTGATAAGTGGATGGATGAACAATGAATGAATGGGCGGATATCTTAGTGGATAAGGAAAATGGGCAGACTGGATGGATGAATGGAAGATGAGGGTGGATGATGGGTGGGCAGATGGATGGGTGGGAGGCAGGTGGTTAAGTAGGAATATGGATAGAAGGATGGATGTGTGAATGGATATGTAGATAGAAGGATAGAGAAAATGAGTGGGTAAGAGTATGTTTGAATGGATGGGTTAGTGAATGGACAGATAGTTGGAAGCATGGTTGAATGAGTAGGTGGATAAAAGGAGAGATGAGCCAATAAATAAGCAAATGAATGAATGGGTGGGTGGATAGATGGATGGGTGGATATAGGGTGGATGAGTTGTGGGATGGAAAGTTATTGAGGTGCCCCTTGGCCAACACACTGGCTTTCCTTCCTGCTATCTCCAGCTACCGCCATGATTATGGGTCTACTGGTTTTTCCAATCGGCCTTGCCTCCTCATTCGTCAAGGAAGTCTGCGAAGCCTCCTCCATGTATCATGGTGGGAAGTGCCGTCTGGGTTGGGGTTACATGACCGCTATCCTCAATGCAGTCCTGGCCAGCCTCCTGCCCATCATCAGCTGGCCCCACAGGACCAAGGTCCAAGGGAGGACCATCATCTTCTCCAGGGCCACCGAGAGAATCATCCTTGTGCCAGAAATGAACAAATAAAAATCTCCTGGGAGAGGCACAGAGAACATACTCCAGAGGTTTATGAAATCATCATGTAGCCAATTTCAAATCCCACCTCTGCTCCTTCTTGCTGTGTGACTTCAGGCAAGCCACTTTACCTCTCTGGCATGGCTTTTTCTTCTGGAAAATGAAAGTTGAAATCATACCTACCTCATAAGGTTGTTCTGAGAATTCACTGGAGATACTCTATGTAAATAAAGCACTTTGCACCATGTCTGGCACATAGTGTTTCATAAACATTGGTTACTATTATTATAATCCTTACCTCAAGGACTGTGTTGAGAATTCAACATCTTTATGAAAACTGCCCAGGCTAATTCTGAGCTCATGGCTATCACTCAAAAACTAAATTGTTTAATTGGCATGCGCATATTCTCTGTTCCTTCTGTTTTTATAATTCTTCCTTGTTTTAGAGAATTTGAAAATTATTTATTTTCTCATCAAATATTTAGTGAGTGTCTATTAAGTACAAGATTTTGAGCCAATGGGCTGGGCGTGGTGGCTCACGCCTGTAATCCCAGCACTTTGGGAGCCTGAGGCGGGTAGATCACAAGGTCAGGAGTTCGAGACCAGTCTGGCCAATGCAGTGAAACCCAATCTCTACTAAAAATACAAATATTAGCTGGGTGTGGTGGTGCATGCCTGTAGTCCCAGCTACTCAGGAGGCTCAGGCAGGAGAATTGCTTGAACCTGGGAGGCGGAGGTTGCAGTGAGCTGAGATCATACCACTGCTCTCCAACCTGGGCGACACAGCGAGACTCCATCTCAAAAATAAAAATTTTTTTTCAAGCCAATGTTGGGTTGGGGAGAAGGACTTAAGGACCTGACTCACCCCTTATGCAAATAATCCCATTGATGTGGAAACTACACTGTTATTTGGGGCCCTTTAGAATCTATTTCCAACCTCTCTCTTCAGGCTCTTTCTTGTCACCCACTCAACACCTGTGCCTCTCCTTCTGTCTCACAGTGAACTTCTAAAGCCCACAGAAGTCCTCTTCCTGTGGCAGGCCAGGTCTCACCAAATACAGGCCTCCATAACAACTATTTCAGTACTGAGTGAGTGGTTAAGTTTAATATTAAAAGCCAGTGCCCTCATACAAAGGCTGGAATAGAACAAAAGCCCACCAAGAATTTTGCCTAGACCTTTCCTGGGCCTCAAAGCATGACAAAATAACGAAGGAATTCTTAACAGGACCCATTTTAGGATTAAACAAGTTTTACTGGGGGTCTGAAGAAACTCCCCAGGCCTCCACAAACAAGTTTATTGGAGGTCTGAAGGAACTCCCCCAAATCCCCGTGATTTAGCAGGAGACAAGATAAGGGTAATCGCCCCATTACTTGGACCCATTTAGATTAAGTAAATTTACTGAGGCTCCAGAAGAAGGTCTTCAAGACTCAGACCTCAGTTATAGATTAAAAGAAATTAATCACTTATTTATTTATTTATGTATTTATTTTTGAGATGGAGTTTTGTTCTTGTTGCCCAGGCTGGAGTCCAATGGCATGATCTCAGTTCACTGCAACCTCTGTCTCCTGGGTTCAAGCAATTCTCCTCCCTCAACCTCCCGATTAGCTGAGATTACAGGCATGCGCCACTGCAGCCAGCTAACTTTTTTGTATTTTTAGTAGAGATGGGGTTTCACCATGTTGGCCAGGCTGGTCTTGAGCTTCTGACCTCAGGTGATCTGCTCACCACAGGCTCCCAAAATGCTGGGATTACAGGCATGAGCCACTGCGCCCGGCCCACTTATGTCTTTAGATGAATGCACGCTTACACGTAGACATATAACTTAGAAGGTGTATAAGCTCTAGAAAACTTTGTAATTTTGAGTTGGTCTGGCAATAATTTCCAGGCCTTCTCCCTGTAACAGTTACAGAAATAGAAACTCTGTTTCTCCCCAGTTCATCTGCATCTCATTATTGATCCATGAGAAATAGCAGCCTGACCCTCAATTTGGTCCGGGAACATTCTCATCTCTACAGCTTGGCACGTACTGCTTTCTCTGCCGGGACTCAATCTGTTGATTTCTCCTGTGTTCACGCATTGCTCTTCTTTGGGAGCAGTACCCTAATCTTCCTATAAAAAATGACCCACAGTTGGCAAGGCACCATGGCTCATGCCTGTAATCCCAGCACTTTGGGAGGCCAAGGCTGGTGGATCACGAGGTCAGGAGATCGAGACCATCCTGACCAACATGGTGAAACCCCGTCTCTACTAAAAATACAAAAATTAGCTGGGCGTGATGGCGTACACCTGTAGTCGCAACTACTTGGGAGGCTGAGGCAGGAGAATGGCTTGAACCTTGGAGGTAGAGGTTGTAGTGAGCTGAGATCGTGCCACTGTACTCCAGCCTGGCGACAGAGTGAGCCACTGTCTCAAAAACAAACAAACAAACAAACAAAAAACACCCACAGCCAGTCTGTGGCCACCTTGGGCTTTAAGATGGATAAATGAGCCCTTCTGGCAAATCAAGCCTGGTCAAAATGATTGATTCAGAGTTGGGCATGGGCTCTGTGGAAGCCAGCATGGAGGAGAACAGAAGCACGAGATGGAGAGAGGTGGAACTCTAAGAACTTCGTTTGAACATCTGGACCCAGCCATACCTGACTCCTATCTGCAGGAGACAAGGTCATAGGCAGTTCTAGGCTGGCATCCCCTAGCACAGTTGCTCCAGAGGAAACAGTGAACTTCTCTTTCCTCTCTTGGTATATATAAATCCTAGGGAAGGAGTCTGATCGGCCTGCAGTGGGTCATGTGCTTACCCCTGGGCAGGGAGGGCCATGTCAGGAGTCTCATTAGAAGGTCACTGTTACAGTTCCCCAAAGTTGAGGGGGTGCTGGTACCAGAAGGAGGGAAGGATGCTAAGCAGACAGAAACACTCAATGGTCAGTTCTCTCTTTAAGGGAGTTTTTCTTATCCCAGTTTCACAGAAGTGAAAATCGAGGCTCAGAGAGGTGAAATTACTTGCCCAAGGCCACACAGCTGATCAGTGGCAGAGCTGGGATTTGAATCCAGGTCTGTCAGACTCTGTGGTAGATGCAAAATAACACCTGGATTTGTTCCCTCTGCTCCCCCATCCATCCAGCTCATCATAATCAAACTCTTCTGGCTTCAAACACCCACCCAAGAATATACACGAACAGCCCCCAAGAGTGATTCCACTGTTCTGAAGACACATAGATCACACAGAACGCAGCTTGTTATTTATCTTCCAGTACGAACCATAAGAACAACTTGACAGCTTTTTAAAACAGAATAGAACAATAGAAAAAAATTAATAGAAAATCTAGGAAGATACCACAAGGGGTTCAAATGGACTGAAGGACAGTGATTCATTTCAAGTGGTTCATTTCAAAAGTGCCACTTTTCAAGCACTTCAATGCAAATCAGTCTCATGTGGGAAGATTCCTTAAGCCTTGGGCAGATCCCAGAATAAGGAGGGGCAAGTGGAAGCTGGCAAGTAGAAGCTCAAACTCAGTTTGCACATCACCTACTGGTGCTTGGAACATGTTGCCTCTTCTCTGTAATAACCTCACTATGCTCCCCAAGTTTCTTAATTTTCTCTTTGAACTGTTTCAGCAATGCCAAAGGTAATGATTCTCCAGCTGGTAAAGCAAAATCAGTCAGAAAGAGACTCTGTCTTTATTTGGCAATAGAGGGAGTGCTGTAATTTTCTCTTCATCAAAACAAGAGGCATCTATCGTTTGCAAGGAGCCCTGCACCTACAAAGCCTGGAAATGACTGTGCCTACAAATCTGAAAAAAGAAAGCCAGGAAGACACTGGAGGGTCCCTGTCCCACATCCTCATGTAATGGAAAGTCTCCACAATCCCATTGGTTATTTGAATTCTGCTGGAGTTGACCTAGAAACGGATTGGCAAGCTGGTACTTCAAAAAGTGTCAAACTGTGCTCCTCTAGAGTTTATACCTGCCCTGGGCTCAAGCTCTCAATATGCACAGTGACTTGGAAGCCAAGAAGATGGGGAGCTGGGAGCCCTTTCCTGACAGCAGAATCAGATGCAGACTGCAGTGTCAGTGTAGATGCTGCTCCTGCCAAGAACTGATGGCCTCATCATACCTAATTTTGGGGTTTCTCCAAGACACAGTCCAGGACGGTCCCAGGCTCACCCTTTCTAGAGTTCTCCTCCTACGGCCGCATTCTCTTAAGTTTCAAAGTCTCACGTGAGAACCTAAGAAAGGTAGATGATGGGAACTCAGGACAAATGGGTTCCCAGCCCCATCCTCAGTGAGGCTGGGGGCAGAGAGTTCCAGTAAATGAGGGTGGAGGGGCCAAGATTGAGTCCAGAACCAAAGGAGGCATTACTATCTCCATTTTGCAGAAGTGGAAACTGAGGCTAAGAGGTGTGAAAGGAAACTACCCCAAATCACTAAGGAAAACTCAAGCTGGAAACTGCTTAGGGCAAACATGCTTCTCATTCCATTCAAAGTTAGCCCTCTGATCACTGAGATAGATGTATATCTGATTGCCACCTTTGGAAAGACTAATCAGAAACTAAAAAGAATGCAACCGTTTGTGTCTCACCCATCTGTGACCTGCAAGCTCCTTCCCCACTTCAAGTCTTCCTGTCTTTGCTTCAAGTTGTTCCACCTTTCCAGACTGAAGCAATGTACTTCTTACATGTATTGATAGATGTCTCATTTCTCCCTAAGATGTATAAAACCAAGCTGTGTCCTGACCACCTTGGGCACATGTCAGGATTTCCTGAGTCTGTGTCACATGCATGTCCTCAACCTTGGCAAAACAAACTTTCTAAATTAACTGAGACCTGCCTCAGATTTTCTGGGTTCACAGAGGTAAAGGCACTCGCCCAAAGCCACATGGCCATAGTACCAGATCTGGGATCCTACAGTATTGTTCCCTGAATATGTGGACAGAGCTATATGACATGATTTTAGTTGGTATGGTGAGAAAATCATTTTTTTTTTTTCTAGACAGAGTCTCACTCTGTCACCAGGCTGGGGTGCAGTGGCACGATCTCTGCTCACTGCAACCTCCGCCCAAGCGATTCTCCTGCCTCAGCCTCCTGAGTAGCTGGGACTACAGGTGGGCGCCACTGAGCTCAGCTAATTTTTTGTATTTTTAGTAGAGACGGGGTTTCACCATGTTAGCCAGGATGGTCTGGATCTCCTGACCTCGTGATCCGCCCACCTCGGCCTCCCAAAGTGCTGGGGATTACAGGCGTGAGCCACCGCACTCGGCTTTTTTTTTTTTTCGACGGAGTTTCGCTTTTGTCGCTCAGGCTGGAGTGTAGATCTTGGCTCACTGCAACCTCCACCTCCTGGGTTCAAGTGATTCTCCTGACTCAGCTTCACAAGTAACTGGGATTACAGGCGCTCGCCACCATGCCTAGCTAATTTTTGTATTTTTAGTAGAGACAGGGTTTCACCATGTTGGCCAGGATGGTCTCAAACTCCCGACCTCAGGTGATCCACTTGCCTTGGTCTCCCAAAGTGGTGGGATTACAGGCGTGAGCCATCACGGCCAGCCAAGACAGTGAAATTCTATTCTAAGAGCATCTGATGAAAAGAAAAAAAATGAGAGAGAAGAGAGATATCTCAATCGCGTCCCATCACAGTCCCTGATTATACCCTTACCTCCCTTCGCCTGGGCTACTGAGATCTCAGGCCTTGGAGAGAAGGACAGAGGGGAAGAAGGAATATAAAATAAAATGGCATAACATGACTGCCAGCTGTTCTGAAATGGGAAGGCGAGGGTCTCCCAAATTCTTGGCATGAAAGGTGCTTCTCAACTGCCCCAAGTTCTCTCCTGTAAGCCAAATGAAATTCTAGGAGAAAAGGAAATGGCAGATGGTTTAAGAAGAAATTGGAGCATCCAGAAAGGCCTTCACACTGCAGTCTTGCTCTGTATAAGACCAACATCATTCAGGTAGAAAATGTGAGCACAGACACTATCCAAGTGCTCTTTGCTATAAGGAGAGGAGGCAAAAGAAGGGGAGAGAGAAGGGGGAGGAGGAGAGAAATATGATGAAGGGGAAGGAAAAGAGAAAGAGGTGGAGGAAAGGGGGATGAAGAGGAGAAGAGCAGAGGCCACAATGCCAACTACAGGTGCCCGTGGAAACCAAGACCACTTCTTCAGCCCCACCGAGTCGTGAAAATGTGCCTCATGATCCAAGACCTATCTTTTCGTGTCCATGCAAAGTTCAAGTGCATTTATTTATTTATTTATTTATTTATATGGAGTTTTGCTCGTTGTCCAGGCTGGAGTGCAGTGGCGCGATCTCCGCTCACTGCAACCTCCGCCTCCCGGGTTCAGGTGGTTCTCCTGCCTCAGCCCCCTGAGCAGCTGGGATTACAGGTGCCCGCCGCCACGCCCGGCTAATTTTTTTGCAGTTTTAGTAGAGATGGGGTTTCACTATATTAGCCAGGATGGTCTTGAACTCCTGACCTTCCTTGGGTGATCTGCCCACTTTGGCCTCCTAAAGTGCTGGGATTACAGGTGTGAGCCACTGCGCGTGGGTCAAGTGCATGTGTTTAGAAAAGCCTTTATCTATCTTAGGATTTTTTTCCCTGTGAAATATATTGCCAATGATCAAAGGCCAATAGTGCATACGACCAGGCATCTATGCACACACAACAGGTGCCCAGCACTCCCCAGGTCTGGCCATGCCAGGCAGCTGCAAACGACAGTGGCGCCCTCCAGGAGGAGAGCCCATGGACGGAGTTCAGGTTGAAGTCAGAGAAAGGAGACTGGAGGCTTCAAGGGACAGTGGCAACATCAGGACCATTATTTGCTCTGAGACGTTTCCCCCAGGAGGAAGCATATGTTCCAACTAAAAGAGCCCCCACCTGCCGGCTGCTGTGGGTTTCATTCCTGCCTCTGCTGGGAATATTCCAAGGAAGTGGTGATGTGGCACACCCAGGCAGCCAATGCCACCTGCAAACTCCTCCTCTACTTTACTGGCTTAGTTGGAAATCTTTTTCTATTCAAAACCTGAAGTTTTGGCCAGGCGCGGTGGCTCACGCCTGTAATCCCAGCACTTTGGGAGGCCGAGGCAGGCGGATCACGAGGTCAGGAGATCGAGACCATCCTGGCTAACACAGTGAAACCCCGTCTCTACTAAAAAAATACAAAAAATAAGCCGGGCGTGGTGGCGGGCGCCTGTAGTCCCAGCTCCTCGGGAGGCTGAGGCAGGAGAATGGCGTGAGCCCGGGAGGTGGAGCTTGCAATGAGCGGAGATCACGCGACTGCACTCCAGCCTGGGTGACAGAGTGAGACTCCGTCTCAAAACAAACAAACAAACAAACCAAAAAACCCTGAGGTTTTGATGCTGCTCATTATATTAAATCAGGCTGTGCTTCCATAGCTGAAAACTAGTTTTCCTCAGTCATGTTTAGAGACTGATGGAGGTGGAGATCTGTGCACAGTGCTCACTGCCTGATGACTATCGTTCTGAACGGCAGCCATGAGTGAGAACCAGCGATGTTGGGGAAATGAACTCGTTGTCTTTGGGAGCATCGGAGGTGAGAAATGAGCTAGCTCAGCAGTCGGGATTCAGGGTAGTGTTAATTTAGAGCTATGCTCTCAGGTCAAATGGCTGACTGGGAACCCCTCTTGTGCACTGGGCCTTTGGGAATGTGGCAGACTCTTTGCAAAAATGGCCTCAATTATCTCTCAGCCTGGATCCATGCTCCTTTTCTTTTTTCGAGACAGGATTTTGCATTGTCACCCAGGCTGAGGCACAGTGGCATGACCATGTCTCACTGCAGCCTCTATCTTCTGGGCTCAAGTGATCCTCCCACTTCAGCCTCCTGAGTAGCTGGGACCAGAGACACATGCTACCACATCCAGCTAATTTTAATTTTTTATTTTTGGAGAGATGGAGTCTCATTATGTTGCCCAGGCTGATCTTGAACTTTTGGCTTCAAGTGATCCTCTTGCGCTGGCCTCCCAAAGTGCTGGGATTACAGGGGTGAGCCACTGTGCCTGGCCCATGTTCCTTTTCAGTATCACATTCCAAAGACTCTCATCAGGAAGTACAATCTATTTGCCTACCCTTTGAAGCTGGGCTTAGTCATGTGACTTACTCTGACCAACAGAATGTGGCAGAAATGACTATGCCAGAGAAGTTGAGACCAAGAGGCAGCGCATGTTTCTGCTTACCTTCTGGGATCTGCCATCATAGCCATGTAAACAAGCCTAAGCTAGCCTGTTGGAGGATAGGAGATGGGAGAACCCAGTTTCCCCCACTGCCCTAGTCAACAGCCAGACAACCATCAGAAGCAGAGTTGCCTATCTGGACATTAGCTGACCACAGACACATGAAGAAGTCTGACTAAGAACAGAAGAACCTCCCAGCTGAACACAGCCTGGACTGCTGACCCACAGAATTATGAGCTAAATACATGGCTGTTTTAAACCACTACGTTTTGGGTCATTTGTAATGCAGCATTAATTGTGGTAAGAGCCAACTCATACAAGAGGTCAGAAGTGATTCACCTTTTTGGGGAAAAGGCCAGGTAGATATTACAAAAATCTGACCCCGTATAGGGTTACTGGGGTGTGAGTGGGAAGACACAGTATTCAGAAGCAAGCATTTCTTTCTTTCAAAGTAAAAAAAAAAAAAAAAAAAAAAAAAAAAAAAAAAAACAGATTCACATATTTCTGTTTATATATATTTTCTCTATATATAGACACAACTCTTCAGCAAACATTTACAAGATATGTGGGCCACATTGAAAAAAAAAGAGTGCACTCCGTGGACAGAACAACTCCTACGCATCCAATTCCAGGACACAGAAACACACACGACATACAGATCTGAATAGGCACAGTAAACCAAATAAATATGACTTATTCCAAATCACAACCACAGATGCTCTCTGGAACATCACGAGAGAAGGCAGAGAAGAGATTTTGTGCTGTACTTCGAGACTAGTCTGTTAAAAAAATAAATAGGAACCAGAAGGTCTGGGACCTGGGTCTCACCAAAATAACACCCTGTGTAAAGAACAGCTGAATGGCAAAATACAGTTTTCTCCGGAGGGGCGTTTTACACATTTCTTCCTGTCTTGGAAGCTGGGGTACGTAGGGCAAGGAGACGCAAGTCTAATGGCAGCCAGAACGTTGCCGTCTCCCGTTTCTGCTTTGGTGGGGTGGGGTAGGAGCTGGGAGCCATGAAGGCTACAGTAGCCTCAAGTCTCCCACAGAGCTCTCTTCAGAAAGTAAGGGTTGACTAGACCTCTATCCACCCTGCACCAGAGGCTGGGCAGAGGTTGGAGGTTCAGGTGCAGTTGAAGTTGCTGTACCGAGCGAAAGAAGCCTTCACAAGCACACAAGGCAAGGATGCATCCCAATCCCGGTGTGCTCAGGATGGGAGGACTAATACGCCCCTTCGCCTATGCTTCAATACGCTGCTTTACCTATCCTCTCCCCTCTCCAAAATCCCAGCTGCCATTCTTTGACCACCCTAGAGGTGGCAGGTCTCCCGAGAAGAGTCTTTCTCTCTGATGCTTGCTGGGTTTCCCCCATTCTGGGTGCATTCTCAGAACAGAAGAGCGGGCAAGACTGCTCTATCAAGAGGACAGGTAGGCAGAGTACACTAGCTCACTTCAGGTCTGTTTGTAGATTGGTGACACTCTGTGTGAAGACCTCGGGGGGACTGTTCCCAGACCTAGCATGGTCCTGGACCCAGCTCATCAGCTGATGTTCCCCAAGGAAAACACACACCATGCTCTACCCTGGCCGACCTCTGCCTTCCTTTTCCTCCTTTGTCCTGAGTGAGTAACTGCGCTTAGAGAAAAGCTGCACCCCACCACCATTAAGCAGCTTTCACCAAACACACACATTTCTAAGACCCAATACTTGGAAGGAAAGGCGGTTTTCCCTTGCAAGATGGCAGCAGGATACAGACTCTGCCCGGCCTGGGGGGCTCTGAGCAGGACCCCAAAGAGCTCTGACCGTCTCATGCCTACAGACACTTTTTGGGTCCACTCCCTATGTGGGGAGATGCATTTCTTGAAAAGAAGAAAACGAGTATCTTCTGGCATCACACAGAGGAGAAAAAAAGGAGAAAATATAACAGATGGAATCCCAGACTCCAAGAGAGATGTGTGAGGGACTCCTGTGTGCCTTTTCTTTTTTTATTTTTTTTTGAGACAGAGTCTCGCACTGTCACCGGGGCTGGAGTGCAGTGGTGTGATCTCAGATCATTGCAACCTCCACCTCCCAGGTTCAAGCGATTCTCCTGCCTCAGCCTCCCAAGTAGCTGGGATTACGGGTGCCCGCCACCACGCCCAGCTAATTTTTTGTATTTTTAGAAGAGACAGGGTTTCACTATGTTGGCCAGGCTGGTCTCAGAACTCCTGACCTTGTGATCCGCCTGCCTCGGCCTCCCAAAGCGCTGGGATTACAGGCGTGAGCCACCGCGCCGGGCCTCCTGTGTGCCTTTTCTAAGTGGGGGGAGGCCTCAGGACCAGGGTGGTTTAGCATCAAAAGAATGGGGGAGCAAGTCATTTGTAGTCCCTCCTCCAAGCCAGTGGTTCTCAAATGGGGGCAACTTTGCCCGCAGGGAACATTTGGCAATGTCTAGAGACATTTTTGGGGGTTGTCACAACTGGGGTGTGAGTGGGGGATGGTGCGACTGGCATCTGGTGAGGCCAGGGATGCTGCTCAGCATCCTACAATGCAGAAGACAGTCCCCTCAAAAAGAATCACCTGGCTGCAAATGTCAGTCATGTCGACGTGGAGGGTCAATCTCTAGCCATGTCCAGAATATCGCCAAAGGCCCCTTGCCGAGGAGCACAGAGGTAGCCCCACACACCTCTTCTACACCAATTTCCAAAAAGAAATTCCCTTCCCAGGTCTCATCTTACAAGACAGTTTGGAGGGATAGGGAAAGAAGAAGAGGAGACCATTCTGGACACCAGCAAACAACGATGGCTCCTCGTCCACCAACATCCCCTACCTCCTGCAAGGGAGGAACGCCAGACTTGGGCAATCTTTGGTCAAACAGGAAAACGTAAGGCTAAATTGAAGGGGTACTCCCTCCACCCCATCTGCCCAGAAGTGAAAGTCACGGTAGTTTCTTTTTGCACTGAACTCCATGCTTGTGAACAGACACCAGGACCCCGCTCCTGGGGTGACCGTCCAGCCAGGAGGAAAAATAAGCAGAGGAACAGGTGGGGCAGCTTGGCTGAGGCTGCCTGGGTGAGGTGCCCCTCACTTGTTCTCAATCAGAGTCTGCACCTTGTACACGAGGTCCCGCGCCAGCTTCAGGACTTGCTTGGTGTTGTGTCGCTCAGCCATTTCTGAAAGAGCAGAAAAAAATCTCATGAGCCTCCTTCTGCGTCCAGTCTTAGGGCACGCTTCCAGCCCCTGGAGACTTCTCTGGGGGCGTCTCCATCACAGATTGGCTCAGGAAGCAGAGGCCCTGGAGAAGCCCTCTAACTCTGGACCTCAGTTTCCTCATCTGTAAAATGGGGATTGGAACAGCAGCCGCCTCACCAAGTTGCTGTGGGGATTGAATGGGATAATGCTGGTTCACAGGATGTGCTATAAAAAGGTGAGGTCAGTCGGGCGCGGTGGCTCACACCTGTAATCCCAGCATTTTGGGAGGCTGAGGTGGGCAGATCACCTGAAGTCGGGAGTTTGAGACCAGCCTGACCAACATGGAGAAACCCTGTGTCTACTAAAAATACAAATTAGTCGGGCGTGGTGGTACACGCCTATAATCCCAGCTACTCAGGAGGCTGAGGCAGAAGAATCGCTTGAACCTGGGAGGCAGAGCTTGTGATGAGCCAAGATTGCACCATTGCACTCCAGCCTGGGCAACAAGAGCGAAACTCCATCTCAAAAAAAAAAAATAATAATAATAATAAAAATGAAAAGGTGAAGTCCTTCCACTCCTCTCCTATAAACAGAATGACTGAAAGCAGTGCTGGGCACACAGTAGATGCTGAAAGATATGAAAAGGAGGAAGCAACAGAGGGAGGAAAGATGGAAAAGGAAGAGGAGAAAGGGACAAAAAAAGCAAAGAAAAGAATAATTTTATCAAGAGCCATACAATGTGGTCAGACTTCCAAACCAAATAATCCTAAACTTAGACATTTATCATAAATAAACCATTTAGTAGAAAGAAAAGAAAAAACAAAACAAAACAACACTAAATCTAAGACATGGTTCCTGAACTGGGTACCAACGTACCCCAGCATGTCACAGTGAACTTACAGGGACACTGCGGAGTATTTGGATATTTCGAGGGAAGCGCGGCAATGCTCCATCTAAGTTGAGCGCCACGTCAACTGTTAGCTGGAGTGAGTTATGAATTTCACTACGCTCTCAGCAATAACTTTCTTTTTTTCTTTTGAGACAAGGTCTCACTCTGTTGCCCAGGGTAGAGTGCAGTGTGGTGTGATCTCGGCTCACTATAACCTCCGCCTCCCAACCTCAAGCGATTCTCATGCCTCCTGTAATCCCAGCCTCCTGAGTAGCTGGGATTACAGGTGTGCACCACCATGCTGGGCTAATTTTTGTATTTTTATTAGAGACAGGGTTTTGCCACATTGGCCAGGCTGATCTGGAACTCCTAGCCTCAAGTAATCCACCCACCTTGGCCTCCCAAAGTGCTTACAGGCATAAGCCACTGTATCCAGAGTCCCATCAATGACTGTCTTTGCAAAGTTAGATTTTCAGCAGCTGCTGAAATAGAAAGTAAGTGCCATGGGCCGGGGCGCAGTGACTCACGCCTGTAATCCCAGTACTTTGGGAGGCCAAGGTGGGCGGATCATGAGGCCATGAGATCGAGACCGTCCTGGCTAACACGGTGAAATCCCGTCTCTACTAAAATATCAAAAAATTAGCCAGGCGAGGTGGCGGGCGCCTGTAGTCCCAGCTACTCGGGAGGCTGAGGCAGGAGAATGGCGTAAACCCGGGAGGCGGAGCTTGCAGTGAGCTGAGATCCGGCCACTGCACTCCAGCCTGGGCGACAGAGCGAGATTTCGTCTCAAAAAAAAAAAAAAGATATAATGTATGTGTTATTTTTTTAACGGCTTCTAAGTTGCTATGATATAAATATTTATGAAGTGGTTTGGACCTAACTATTTACTAAATGAAACTTTTGGTCTGAGGTGCTGTTATAATTTTACAGACACACTAGCAGTGCATGAATTGAGAAAATTTAGGAATCTTTATGCTAACAGATGAATTGCTTTGGACTCTCAATCACACCTTCAAACTGAAAATAACCTACATGCTAATGATAAGAAATGGTTCAGTAAGTTATGGAATAGTCACTTGAGATATAGTTTGTAGTTTAAAAAAATGACTGGCTGGGCACAGTGGCTCACACCTATAATCCCAGCACGTTGGGAGGCCAAGACAGGCGGATCGCCTGAGGTCAGGAGTTCTAGACCACCCTGGCCAACATGGCAAAACCCTGTCTCTACTAAAAATACAAAAATTAGCCGGGTGTGATGGCACACATTTGTAGTCCCAGCTACTCAGGAGGCTGAGGTGGGAGAATCGCTTGAACCTGGGAGGCGGAGGTTGCAGTGAGCTGAGGTCGAACCCCTTCACTCCAGCGTTGGTAACAGAGCGAGAGACTCTATCTCAAAAAAAAAAAAAAAAGATTATTTGAAAGACAATGTTTGAAATATTAAGTGAAAAAAGGTATATACAACTGGATTCTGAAATTGTAAAAACATAAAAATAAACATGACTGTGGTTTCCTGGATTAGACCCTAGAACAGAAAAAGGATATTGGTGAAAAAACAGGTGAAATCCAAATAAAGCCTGTAGTTTAGTAGATGGTAATGTGCCAATGATAATTTCTTAGTTTTGGCAAATGTACCAGGGTCATGTAAATGCTAACAGTAGGCAAAGCTAGGCCAAGGTATCATGCATTTTCTGTGCATCTAAATCTAAAACAGTTCTCAATCTACAATTTTAGTAGACAACTAAAATGCAAAACTATTCCCCCCAAAAGTTTACTTAAATTAAGAACCCTAATAATGTTTCAAAAGTGAGGTCACAGTGGCTTTTTTCTTCTTTTGTTTTTTCCAGAAATTTTTCATTAAAAAAATGTTTAATAGTGATAACAGTGGCGATAGCTTTCGTTTATTGGGTTCCCTCCAGGTACCAGGTGCTGGGATTTAACCATGTTGTCTCCTGTAATCCTCTGGACCTCCCTGTGAGGGAGGGAATGTTAGTACCATTTTATCCCTGAAGAATCTGAGGCCTAGAGAAGTGAAGTCACTTGGACAAGGTCACACAGTTCCCAGGAGCCTGGATCAGAATTCACATCTGTCTGATTTCAAGGGCTGTGTCTTTTTCGTGTTACTTAAATTGCTGCCCTGGGCCTGCTTTTCCCACACACATCAACCAAAGCAGACCACTGCTAGCCCATTTCACAGATGAGGAAGTGGATGTTTAGAGAGAGGGGAAGTGACTTGACCATGGGCACAGCTGGTCAGCGGTAGAACCAGGCTTTGCCCCTGAGCTGATTTCAACACCCGTAGTCCCTCTGCCAGATCCCTGAGAAAAATGCAACCTCAGCATTACGAGATTTGAACTTGTCCTTTTGGAAATAGCCATAAGAAGTGTGCAGAGCCCTCTTTATCCCCTTCACCATGCATCCATCTCAGCCCATCTTCATGCCTCCTGAGATCCCCAGAAGGGGCCTCCAGCAGCCTGCACCCCTCTCATGAGGCCCTAATCATGTGGGTACCATTAAAGAATTTGATGATGTCTGTGAAATCCATGTTGTTCTCCAAAATGATGTCGCGGTAGACTTCCACCAGAGCCAGCGCAATGAACAAGACGTAGTGTGCTGAGGAGACATGTTTGGCTGCCCAGATGGTCTCCCAGACCAAGAAGACGTCATCATAGACGAGTTCTGCCAAGACACCAACACACATGGGGAGAGAATTGGTGACAGGGCTCACAATGTTGCCTTCCCTTGGAAAATCCCGAAAGCTGGGAAAGTCCCGGTCAAGTTTTGCCTTATGCCTCTGCCCTGGTGCAGTGGATAGAACTCAGCTGAGAAGACAGGAGAGGACTCTGTCATTTGACCACCAGAAACCTCAGTTTCCCCATCTGTAGGATGGGCTGTGTAAACCAGGTGAGTTCTAAGTTCCTTCCAGCTCTGACATTCTGTAAGTGGAGGAACCAGGCATGTGTGCGTTTGAATTACACAGATTCGTCCTTGCCCTGCCCCTCAACCAGCAATACCTGCTATCCCTGCACCCACATCTCCATCAGCACCCATGGAGGCCTTTCTCCTTTCCCCCCACACACGGGCAGAGCCGGCTGTGGCCTCTGAGTCTAGTGAAGAGGCAGAGTAGAGCAATGGTTAAAAGTAAGCCTTTGGCTGGGCACGGTGGCTCATGACTGTAATCCCAGCACTCTGGGAGGCCGAGGTGGGTGGATCACGAGGTCAGGAGTTCAAGACTGGCCTGGCCAACATGGTGAAACCCCCATCTCTACAAAAAATACAAAAAAAAAAAAAACTAGCCAGGCGTGGTGGCGAGCACCTGTAATCCCAGCTACTCAGGAGGCTGAGGCAGGATTGCGGCAGGAGGTGGAGGTTGCAGTAAGTTGGGATTACGCACACTGCATCCAGCCGTGACAGAGCGTGAGTCTTTAAAAAAAAAAAACCAAAACAAGAAACCCGAGCCTGAAGCAGAGCGAGACTCGTCTCAAAAAAAAAAGAAGAGAAGAAGGCGGGTGTTGGCACACCTGTAATCCCAACACTTTGGGAGACCGAGGTGGGTGGATCACCTGAGGTCAGGAGTTTGAGACCAGCCTGGCCAAACATGGTGAAACCCTGCCTCTACTAAAAATACAAAAAAATTAGCCAGGTGTGGAAGTGGGTGCCTGTAATCCCAGCTACTCAGGAGGCTGAGGCAGAGAATTGCTTGAACCCAGGAGGTGGAGGTTGTAGTAAGTTGAGATCGCACCACTGCACTCCAGCCTGGGCGACAGAGCCAGGCTTAGTCTTAAAAAAAAAAACAAAAAAACAAAAAAATAAACCCAGCCTGGGAGACAGAGCAAGACTCCGTCTCAAAAAAAAAAAAAAAAAAAGGCCAGGTGTGGTGGCTCACGCCTGTAATCCCAACACTTTGGGAGACCAAGGTGTTCTCCCAAACCAGGAGGCTGAGGCAGGAGAATCACTTGAAGCTGGGAGGCGGAGGTTGCAGTGAGCAGAGATCACGCCATTGCACTTGCACTCTAGCCTGGGCAAAAAGAGTAAGACTCCGTCTCAAAAAAAAAAAAAAAAAAAAAAAAAAAAAAGCAAGCCTTCCTATGTCTGATAAACTTGGTGTGAATCCTTCCTCCATCACTTGCTGGCAAGGGGAACCTGGGGTATTTACTTCTCCATGAGCCTGTCTCTTTCCTCATCTGTAAGTGGGGTGAAGCTGAAAATAGAAAAAGGCTAAAGAGATAATACACATAAATGACTCAGCACAGTGCATGGCACTGAAATACTCCATACATGTCAGTTTTTTTTTTTGAGATGGAGTCTCGCTCTGTCACCCAGGCTAGAGGGCAGTGGCGTGATCTCAGCTCACTGCAACCTCCGCCTCCCAGGATCAAGTAGTTCTCCTGCCTCAGCCTCTGAATAGCTGGGACTACAGGCGTGCACCACCACGCCCAGCTAATTTTTCGTATTTTTGGTAGAGACGAGGTTTCACCATGTTAGGTCTTGATCTCCTGATCTCGTGATCTGACCTCCTTGGCCTCCTTGGGATTACAGGCGTGAGCCACCGCACCCGGCCCGTGTCTGATATTATTATAATTATTAACATCATCCCAAATCTGTACAATAGCAACAAAGTACTGTGTTATACGACACTTTTATGTCATGTTGGAATGTGCATGAAATAGCCCCTGCCTCATGGGCTTTAGAGTTCTTGGGCTCTGAAAAGCAGCACAGCAGAATGAAAGAGGTGGGTTCAAATCCTGGCTGTACTCACCCCAGCCCTGAAGTTATCTCTCCCTAGCTCTGAATTTAACCCTTCTCAGCCTCGGTTTCCTCATTGATTGGTAAGATGAAGATCTTAACAGTGCCTACTGTGGAGTGTCAATGCAAGATAAGGCAGGTGAAACGATGGTCCCAACTCCATAAACATGTGCTTCTCTCCCCTGCTGCCTCTGCTGCCAACCCTTCAACCTCACCTCCACAGGATCGCTCCCCCTGAAAGTTCTGCTACAAAGAGTCTGGACACAGGTCCCCCGTTTAAAGTCTGTACCTCGCTTGAAATCCAGCAGGAACCAGCGGTAGCAGAAGTAAAAGTGAGTATAGTCCCCATTCTGATGCATCAGCTCAAACAGCTCCGAGTCCAGGATCTGTCAAGGAAGCAAAGGCAGCATCAGCCTCTTGGGAAAAGGCTGGAGCAGAGGAGACAGCTGAACAAATGGTGGTACATCCACACACCAGACACCATATAGCCCTTAACAGCCAGGTATAGTTTAAAAAATGGGAAAGGGGCCGGGCCGCGGTGGCTCAAGCCTGTAATCTCAGCACTTTGGGAAGCTGAGACAGGCGGATCACGAGGTCAGGAGATCGAGACCATCCTGGCTAACACGGTGAAACCCCATCTCTACTAAAAAATACAAAAAACTAGCCAGGCGAGGTGGCGGGCGCCTGTAGTCCCAGCTACTCGGGAGGCTGAGGCAGGAGAATGGTGTAAACCTGGGAGGTGGAGCTTATAGTGAGCTGAGATTCGGCCACTGCACTCCAGCCTGGGCGACAGAGCGAGACTCCGTCTCAAAAAAAAAAAAAAAAAAAAGGGAAAGGATCTGAATAGACATTTCTCCAAAGGAGATTCACAAATAGTCAAGAGGCACATGAAAGATGCTCAGCATCCTTAATCCTTAGGAAAATGCAATTCAAAAACCACAAGATACCAATTCACATTCACTAGGATAGTGAAAAATGACAGACAATAACAAGTGTTGGTGAGGATGCAGAGAAACTGGAACCCCCATACACTGCTCCCGAGAATATAAAATGGTGTGTCTGCTGTGGAAAACAGTTTGGTAGTTCCTCAAAAACCTAAACACAGAATTTCCATATGATGCAGCAATTCCACTCTTAGGTTTATCCCCAAGAAGAATGAAAACATTATCAGTCAGGTGTGGTGGCTCAGCGCTTTGGGAGGCCAAGGAAGAGAATCACTTGAAGCCAGGAGTTTGACACCAGCCTGGGCAACATAGCAAGACTCTGTCTCTAAAAAAAAAAAAAAGAAGAAAGAAAGAAAATAATTTATTATTCGCCTGGCATGGTGTCCTGGGCATGTAGTCCCAGCTACTCAGGATGCTAAAGTGGGAGGATCACTTGAGCCCAGTTCAAGGCTGCAATGAACTATGATTACACCACTGGACTCCAGCCTGGGTGACAGAGACCCTGTCTAAAAAAACAAAATGAAAACAAAAACATATCCACATAAAAATCTGTACATGAATGAATGTGTGTAATAGTGTTACTCATAATAGCCAACAACTGGGAAACAACTCAAATGTCCATCAAGACATGAATGGATAAATATAGGTAGCATATCCATACCATCTATTTTAATATTATCTGGTAATAAAAACAAACTAAGTTTTGTTTTTATTTTTTTGAGACTGAGTCTCGCTCTATCGCCCAGGCTGGAGTGCAGTGGCATGATTTCAGCTCACTGCAACCTCCACCTCCCAGGTTCAAGTGATTCTCGTGCCTCAGCCTCCCAAGTAGCTAGGATTACAGGCACCTGCCACCACGCCTGGCTAATTTCTGTTATTTTTAGTAGAGATGGGAGTTTCACCATGTTGGTCAGGCTGGTCTTGAACTCCTGACCTCAGGTGATCCACCTGCCTTGGCCTCCCAAAGTGCTGGGATTACAGGCATGAGCCACTGTGCCTGGCCGTAAACTAAGTTTTGATACATGCTACAATGCATCATACACACACGATAAACCTTGACATCATTATGCTAGGTAAAAGAAGTCAGTCATAAAAGGCCACATATTGTATGATTCCATTTATATGAAACGTTTAGAAAAGGCAAATCCACGGAAACAGAAAGCAGCTCCTTGGTTTTCAGGGGCTGGGGAGACGGAGGGGATGGGGAGTGGCTGTTAATGAAGAGTTTCTTTCTAGGGTAATGAAAATGTTCTGAAATTGGTGATGATCGCATAACTCTGTGAATAAATGAAAAGCCACTCACTGAATCGTACACTTCAAAAGGGTAAATTTTATGTATCTAAATTATATTTTAACAAAATGTTATAAAAAAACAGGTGGTGGAAGAACACCTCCAGCTATTGGATATGCTAGTCAGTGGGGGAAAAAAACCTTGTTTGAAAAATAATGTACAGAAAGAAAAGTATGTACAAAATGACTCTAATTATGGAAAAAATGTACATAGAAAATGGGCAAAGTTGGCCGGGTGCGGTGGCTCACGCCTGTAATCCCAGCACTTTGGGAGGCCGGGGTGGGCGGATCACGAGGTCAGGAGATTGAGACCATCCTGGCCAACACAGTGAAACACCGTATCTACTAAAAAAAGAAAGTACAAAAAATTAGCCGGGCATGGTGGTGGGAGCCTGTAGTCCCAGTTACTCAGGAGGCTGAGGCAGGAGAATGGCGTGAGCCTGGGAGGCGGAGTTTGCAGTAAGCCAAGATCACATCACTGCACTCCAGCCTGGACCACAGAGCGAGACTCTGTCTCAAAAAAAAAAAAAGAGAAAAGAAAAAGAAAATAGGCAAAGCATATGGATAGGCACTTCACAATCCAAATGAACAACAAAAAAAGAGAAGATATTCAATTTTACTGTCAATCAAGACAACGCAAATAAAATCACAATGAAAAAAACTGAATGAAGAAGACATACTATTTGATCACACAGCAGGGTAACTATGGTCAACAATAATTTCACTGTACATTTTAAAATAACCAAAAGCATATAATTCGATTGTTTGGAACACAAAGGATGTCAATGCTTGAGGGACTGGATACTCTATTTTCCATGATGTGCTTATTTCACATTGCATTCCGGTCTCAAAACAACTCATGTACTCTACATATATATATACCTATTATGTACCCACAAAAATTAAAAATAAAAAAAAATTATAAAACACAATGGGGTGCTCGAATCATATCCAAGAGATTGACAAAAATATGTAAGTGTGACAATATCAAGTGAGGATGGTGTGTGTTGAAACCCTTACCATACTGCCCTGGAGCATTAAGAAACTGGTACAATCACTTTGAGAGTGACTCGGTCGTGCCTGATAAAACTGAGGACGTGCATTCTCTCTGCCCCAGCAATTCCATTCCGAGTAGATGCCCAAGCAAAGTTGTTGCATGCATGCAGCAGGGATGCACACAAGAATTTCAATGCAGTATTGTTTATGAAAGCCAAAAGCAAAACCCCAAGTTCCCCAAGCAAAAGCAAAACCAAACCAAATAAAAACAACCTAAATGACCACCAACAGGAAAATGGATCCAAATCAAACGTGATAGAATGCACTGTGCTCCTAACGCAGAAGACTGTACTTCCCCTTGTGGATGAGCCTCTCAAACTTGTTACTGAGTATAAAGACAAGCCGCACAAGAGTTCATACCATTTAAAACTATGTAAAGTGGGGAGTAAAGAAACAGAGTTATATGCTGTTTAGGAATATATGCATATATTGTAAAAGAATTTTTAAAAGTACATTATAATGGTGAACACAGGAATCTGCAAAGTGCTTACCACTGGGAGGACAGGAGTGGTGGGGAAATGCCATCAAGAAGGGGTACACGAATAATGAAAAATCTAAAGTTAACTTTTTTTCGGGACAGAGTCTTGCTCTGTCACCCAGGCTGGAGTGCAATGGTGCGATCTCAGCTCACTGCAATCGCCACCTACCGGGTTTAAGAGATTCTCCTGCCTCAGCCTCCTGAGTAGCTGGGGTTACAGGTGTGCGCCACCACGCCTGACTAATTTTTGTATTTTTAGTTAGAGATGGGGTTTCACCATGTTGGCCAGGCTGGTCTCAAACTCCTGGCCTCAAGTGATCCGCCTGCCTTGGCCTCCCAAAGTGCTGGGATTACAGGTGTGAGCCACCACGCCCAGCCTGTGGTTAATATTTTATTTCTTGGGGAGGTGGGGGTGGAAACATGGGTGTTGGTTATATTACTCTTTTACCTTCCTTATGTCCAAAATATTTTGTAGTATTTTAAAGTTCCACTAAAGAAGAAATCAGAGCTAACTGTAGCTCCACTGCTAGTGTGTAGATAACAAAGCATCCCCACCATTTACTCAAGTTAACACATTTGCATTCCTTCTACTCAAAGGGTTGAGTGTCTTAACTCCTCTGGGGAGTAGATACACTAATCGCTATGAATGCTGAAGAGCTAGCATTTATTACAATACTTCTCAAATTTGAGCTTGCACCAGAATTACCTGGAGAGCTTCATATGGCACAGACTCCTGGGCCCAACTCAGAGATTTTTATTCGGTGGAGGAAAGGTGCCCAGTAATTTGCACTTCTAACAAGTTGCCAGTGAGGCTGATGTTGCCAGTCCATGGACTATGCTCTGAGAGGCACTCAGGCACTGTGCTGAGCACTATAACATCATTAGTTTATTTCATTTCCATGATAATTCTAATAACTTATTGAGACTCATAAAAATGAGGAAACCTATTTCACAGATGAGAAAACTGAGGCCCAGAAAGATAAGAGCATATGCCGAGTTTGTACAGCAGAAATAGGATTCCAATCCAGGTGGGCTCTAAGTAGCTCAGTTTGGAGCCACTAAGCTTTACTTACTGTTTCCCAAAAAAGTCCAAAGCAGGACTGGATGCGGAGTCATACCTGGATCAATGACCTCATGTTTGCAAAGTGCGTGTCCATGGCGCCTCCGTGGGGGAAGTTCTGGTTCATCCTCTTCATGAGCTCCGTGAAGCAGCTGAAGGCAAGCGCCTCTGAGAAAGCAGCACAGAACAGTCAGCTGCCCCGCTGCCCAAGTGATGTGGTTTGGATGTTCGTCCTCTCCAACTCTCATGTTGAAATATGACCTTCAATGTTAGGGGTGGACCTTTCGTGTATTTTTAGTAGAGATGGGGTTTCACATGTTATCCAGGGGGGTTTCACCATGGTCTCGATCTCCTGACCTCGTGATCCGCCCACCTCAGCCTCCCAAAGCGCTGGGATTACAGGTGTGAGCCAATGTGCCCGGCCTAAAAGGCTTTATTTTTATTTTATTTTATTTTTGAGACGGAGTCTCGCTCTGTCGCCCAGGCTGGAGTGCAGTGGCGCAATCTCGGCTCACTGCAAGCTCCGCCTCCTGGGTTCACGCCATTCTCCTGCCTCAGCCTCTGGAGTAGCTGGACTACAGGGGCTCCCCACCACGCCCAGCTAGTTTTTTGTATTTTTTAGTAGAGGTGGGGTTTCACCGTGTTAGGCAGGATGGTCTCGATCTCCTGACCTCGTGATCCACCCGCCTCGGCCTCCCTAAGTGCTGGGATTACAGGTGTGAGCCAACACGCCCAGACAAAAGGCTTTATATTTTAGAAAAGTTTAGATTTACAGAAAAACTGCAAAGACAGTAAAAACTTGTCATACACCCCACACGCGGTTTCCTCTATTATTAGTATCTGGACATTAGCATGATACATTTGTTGAACCGATATGGACACATTATGAACTAAAGTCCATACTGTATTCAGATTTTCTTAGTGTGTACTGAATGTCATTTTTCTGTTCCAAGCTGTCATCCAGAACAGCACATTACGTCGACTGGTCATGTTCCCTTAAGCTCCTCTTGGTTGTGGCAGTTTCTCAGGCTTTTCTTGTTTTTGATGACCTTGATAGTTTTTTGTTTTTTGGTTTTTTTTTTTTGAAACAGAGTCTCGCTCTGTCGCCCAGGTTGGAGTGCAGTGGCGCAATCTTGGCTCACTGCAAGCTCTACCTCCCGGGTTCACTCCATTCCCCTGCCTCAGCCTCCCGGGACTACAGATGCCCACCACCACACCCGGCCAACTTTTTTGTATTTTTAGTAGAGACAGGGTTTCACTGTGTTAGCCAGGATGGTCTCAATCTCCTGACCTCATGATCCGCCCACCTAGGCCTCCCAAAGTGCTGGGATTACAGGCGTGAGGCACTACGTCCGGCAACCTTGACAGTTTTGAGGTGTAGTGGTCAGGTATTTTTTGTAGGATGCTGCACTATTAGCAATGGAATTTATCTGATGCCTTTCTCATGGTAAGACTGGGTTATGGGTTATCGAGAGGAAAACCACAGAGGTAAAGGGCCATTTTAATCATATCATAAGGGTATATACTATCAGCATGATTTATAACTGCTGATGTTGGCCATGGTCACCTGGCTGAAGTCGTGTTTGTCAGGTTTCTCTGCTGTAGTTTCTTTCTCATCCCGTCACTGCCTTCCATACTGTACTTTTTGCAAACAAGTCACTATGTGCAGTCCGTGTCAACAGAGTAGGTAGTTGGCTGGGCGTGGTGGCTCACGCCTGTAATCCCAGCACTTTGGGAGGCCAAGGCAGGTGGATCACCTGAAGTCAGGAGTTCAAGACTAGCCTGAACAACATGGTGTAACCCTGTCTCTACTAAAAATACAAAAATTAGCCAGGCATGATGGCGGGTGCCTGTAATCTCAGCTACTTGGGAGCCTGAGGCAGGAGAACTGCCTTAACTTGGGAGGCGGAAGTTGCAGTGAACTGAGATTGTACCATTGCACTCCAGCCTGGGCAACAAGAGTGAAACGTGTCAAAATAAAAAAAAAGAGTATGGAATTATGCTCCCCATTTATTATTTATTATAATGAGATAGGGTCTCATTCTGTCACCCAGGTTGGAGTGCAGTGGCACAATCACGGCTCATTGCACTTTGACCTTGGCAGCCTCAAGTGATCCTCCTGCCTCAGCCTCCCAAATAGCAGGGACCACAGGTGTGTGCCAACACACTTGGCTAATTTTTCTATTTTTTGTAGAGACGAGGTTTCACCATGTTGCCCAGGCTAGTCACAATCTGCCTACCTTGGCCTCCCAAAGTGCTGAGGTTACAGGCATGAGCTACCATGCCTGGCCTACTTTTTTATTTTATTTTGTTTTATTTATTTTATTTTATTTATTTTGAGATGGAGTCTCGCTCTGTCACCAAGGCTGGAGTGCAGTGGCATGATCTCGGCTCACTGCAACCTCTGTCTCCCAAGTTCAAGTGCTGCTTCTGCTGCAGCCTCCCGTGTAGCTGGAATTACAAGTGCCCGCCACAATGCCTGGCTAACTTTTGTATTTTTAGTAGAAATTTTTCACCATGTTGGCCAGGCTGGTTTTGAACTCCTGACTTCAAGCAATCCACCCGCCTCAGCCTCCCAAAGTGTTGCAATTACAGGCATGAGCCACTGGGCCTGGAACTAGTTGTTGTATTTCAGACATAAATGTTTATATATTTAGCCCAGGGGCTTGGAATACAGTAGCACGATCATAGCTCACTGCAACCTCCAACTCCTTGGCTCAAGCAATCCTCTTGTCTTAGCCTCCTGAGTAGCTGGAACTACAGGTGTGCACCACCACGCCCAGCAAATTTTTAAATTTTTGTGTAGAGATAGAGTCTCACTATGTTGCTCAGGCTGGTCTCGAACTCCTGATCTCAAGCAATCCTCCTGCTTTAGCTTCCTGAGTAGCTGGGACTACAGGTGTGCACCACCATGCCCGGCTTATTTTTAATTATTTTTGTAGAGATGGAGTCTCACTATGTTGCTCAGGCTCGTCTTGAACTCCTGATCTCAAGCAATCCTCCTGCCTCGGCCTCCCAAAGTGGTAGGATTACAAGTGTGAGCCATTGCACCCAATCCCATTTTTTAACAGGTTTATTGAGATTCTCACATAAAATTCACCTTTTAAATGTACCATTTAGTGGTTTTAGTACATTCACAATGTTGTGCAATCACCACTATTAGTTCCAGAACATTTCTTCACCCCTGCAACCCTGAAATCCCTGTATCAATGAAGCAGCAACTTCATATTTCTCTCTCCCCCAAGTCCCTGTCAACGACTAGTCTTTCTGTCTCTATGGATTTGTCTACTCTGGACATTTCATATAAATGGAATCACACCATTTGTGATATTTTGTGTCTGGCTTCTTTCACTTAGCATAATGTTTTCAAGGTTCATCCACATTGTAATTTGGATCAGAACATCATTCTTTTTTTTTGCCAAATAATATTCCATTGTATGGATATACCACATTTTGTTTATGCATTCATCATTTGATGGACATTGCGACTATTTCCACTTTTTTGAGTGATAATGAATAATGCCTAATCATGAACATAATGTACAGGTATTTGCAATGAACATATATTTTCAATTCTCTTAGGCCATATATCTATGGATGAAATGCTGGGTCATATGATAACTCTATGTTCATTACTATGAGAAACAGCCACACTCTTTTTTAAAGTGGCCAAACTGGCGGGCATGGTGGCTCATGCCTGTAATCCCAGCACTTTGGAGGGCCAAGGTGGGCGGATCACCTGAGGTCTGGAGTTCGAGATCTGCATAGCCCAGCTATTGGTGAAACCCCAGTCTCTACTAAAAATACAAAAATTAGCCAGATGTGGTGGTGTGGCCTGTAATTCCCAGCTACTTGGGAGGCTGAGACAGGAGAATCACTTGAACCTGGGAGGCAGAGGTTGCAGTGAGCTGAGATTGTGCCACTGCACTCCAGCCTGGGCGACAGGATGAGACTCCATCTCAAAATAATAAATAAATAAATAAAATAAATAAATAAAAATAAATAAATAAAGTGCCAAACCATTTTACAATTCCACCAGCAATGTATGAAGCTTCCAATTTCTTCATATTCTTATCAGTACATGATTTTCTATTGTTTTGATTCCAGCCATCCCAGTGTATATGAAGTGGTATCTCACTGTGGTTTTGATTTCCATTTTCCTAATGACTAATGATGTAGAACAGCAGTGCTCAACCTTTTTGTCACCAGATACCAGTTTCCTGGAAGACAATTTTCCATGGACAGGGAGTGGAGTGGGGGTATAGTTTCTGGATGAAACTGTTCCACCTCAGATCATCAGGCATTAGATTCTCAGAAGGAGTGCACAACCTAGACCCCTCATATGCACAATTCACAATAGGGTTCGCACTCCTAGGAGAATCTAATGCCACTGTTGATCTGGCAGGAGGTGGAGGTGGGAGCTCAGGTTGTAATGCTCACTAGCCTACGCTCACCTCCTGCTGTGCAGCAAGGTTCTGTCTGTGGCATAGGGCTTGGGGACCCCTGATGCAGGGCATCCTTTAACTTGCTTATTGGCATTTGCATATCTTCAATTTATTGAGAATGTCTATTCAAATCCTTCAGCCACTTTGATCAGTTGTTTTTTATTGTTGAATTATAAGAGTTTTTTATATATTTTGACTACGAGTCCCTTATCACACATACGACTTGCAAATATTTTCTTCTAGTCTTTGGGTTCTTTTCACTTTCTTGATGGTGTTCTTTGAGGTACAAAAGTTTTTAATTTCGATGAAGTCTAATTTGCCTATTTTTTCTTTATGTTTTTGGTGTCATATCTAAAAAAAATTCCCTAGCCTAAGGTGACAAAGATTTACTCCTGTTTTTAAGTTTTACACTTTTAGTTCTTGCATTTAGGTCTATGATCCATTTTGAGTTAGTTTGTTGTATGTGGTGTGAGGTAAGGGTTCAACTTCAATTTTTTGCATATGCATGTCCAGTAGTTCTTGCACCATATGTTGAGAAGACTGTTTTTCCTCACTGAGTTGAATTTTCTTAGTACCTCTGTCAAAATCAATTGACTATCAATGTAAGGGCTTACTTCTGGACTCTCAATTCTATTCCTTTGATCTACATGTTGATCCTTATAGAAATACCACTATTTTAAGACCTTTGTAGTAGATTTTGAAATCAGGTACTGTGAGTCCTGCAACATCTCCTTTTAAAAATTGTTTTGGCTATTCTAAATCCCTTAAATTTCCAATTTTAGGGTCAGCTTGTCAATTTTTGGGAAAAAAAACAAAAAAACAAAAAAACAAAGGCAGCTGGGATTTTTGACAGAAACTGCACTGACTTTACAGATCATTGGAGAGCACTGTTACCTTAACAACACTAAGTCTTTCAATCCATGAACATGAGATATCTTTCCATTTATTTTGTTTTTTAAAATTTACTTCAACAATGCCTTGTAGTTTTCAATGTACAAATCTTGCATTTCTGTTAAGTTTATTCATAAGTATTGTATTTTATTTATGTATTTATTTATTTGAGATGGAGTTTCGCTCTTGTCACCCAGGCTGGAGAATAATGGCACAATCTCAGCTCACTGCAACCTCCGCCTCCTGAGTTCAAGCGATTCTCCTGCCCAAGCCTCCCAAGTAGCTGGGATTACAGGCGCCTGCCACCATGCCTGGCTAATTTTTGTATTTTTAGTAGAGATGGGGTTTCACCATGTTGGCCAGGATGGTCCCAAACTCCTGACCTCAGGTGATCTGCCCACCTCGGCCTCCCAAAGTGCTGGGATTACAGGCATGAGCCACTGCACCCAGTCAGTATTGTATTCTTCTAGATGCTATTGCAAATAAAATTGTTTTCCTAATTTCATTTTGGGATTGTTCATTTCAAGTGTATAGAAATACAAGACACTTTTGTTTATCGCTTGTATCCTGCAAACTTGATAACCTTGTTTATCAGTTCTAATTTTTTTTTTATTCCTTAAGATCTTCTATATGCAAAATCACATCTGTGAACAAAGATAGTTTTACTTTCTTTCCAATCTGAATTATTTTTATTTCTTTGTCTTTCTTAATTGCCCTGGCTAGAACCTATGGTAGCAAAAGTAGACATACCTGTCCTGTTCCTGCTTTTAGGGAGGAAGTGTTCAGATTTTCACCACTGAGTATGATGATATTTGTGAGGTTTTCACAGATGCCCTCTATCGTGTTTTGTTCCCTTCTATTCCTAGTTTGTTGAATGTTTTTTATTATGAAAGGATGTTGGATTTTCTCGTGTTTTTCTGTGTCAATTGATATGATTGTGTGGGTTTTTCCCTTTATTTTAGTAATGTGGTGAATTAAATTGATTTTTGCATGTCAAACCACCCTTGCATTCTGGAGATAAGCCCAAGTTGGTCATGGTGTATCATCTTTTATATCTTGGTGAATTAAATTTATTGGTATTTTGTTGAGGATTTCTGCATTTGTATTCATAAAGGATATTGGTCTGTAGTTTTCTTGTTATGTCTTTGTCTGTTACTGGTATCTGGGTGCCAATGAGACACCCAGTCCTCAGACGAGGTCTGGCTTTATTGAATGAGTTAAGAAGCATTCCTTCCTTTTCTATGTTTTTGAAGAGCTTGAAAGAATTGGCATTAATTCTTCTTTAAATGTTTCACAGAACTCACTGGTGAAACTGCCTGGGTTTGTTGTTCGTTTTTATTTGTTTGTTTGTTCTCATTCATATTCATACAATGAGTGGCTGGCGAAGGCCTATCTGGGTGTTGAGTATTGGGCACCATGGAATATAAGGACTTTTTATTTCACTAGGATATTGATGTGTTCACCAGACAGGCCTTCGGAGCACCTGGCTGGAGCCACATTCCGTAGAGTCACAAAGTGAGATCAACCCCTCTGCCATGCAGTGGAAAGGAAATGCGCCCCCAGCCCTGGGGCAGTAAAGACACACTCACCATCATCCAGAATGACCAGCAGTGGAGCCAGAAGATCACACATGCCCTGGACATAGCCAATCTCAATGTGCTGCCAGATGTAGCTAAAAGAGACACAAGGGGCCAATTATGGCAGCCACGGCCTGCCTCTCCAACCTACTCCAACTTCTGCTCCTCCCGCTTCGGTCCCCAATCCCTCACCTGGACCTCTCCCTCAGCCTCCTGCCTGCATCCCTGTTCCCAGTGTCTCTCTTTAAACATCCTATGTGCAGCTACCAGGATGACCTCCCTAAAGGCCAACTCAGGAGGCCTCTTCAGGCTCAAAACTTGCACAAGCACCCTGCTGTCTGATGGGATGTTATCCAAACTCCTTTACTGGGGCTACAAGGAGTAATGGCCTCCTCCCAATTCATCTTCACAGCCTCAAACATCGCTTCCACATTGTCCTCCTCTCCAGCTACATTGATGTATTCACTTTGCACAAAAAGATCACAAATGTATGTTTCTGTATGTTTGCCCTACAGCTCCCTTTGTCAGGAATTCCAATCTGTCCCTTACTAGTAACAGCTTGTATTTACTGATCACTTACTGTATACTCAATCCATTATTTTCTTTTCTTTTTTTCTTTGGGACGGAGTCTCGCTCTGTCGCCCAGCCTGGAGTGCAGTGGCGCGATCTCCACTTGCTGCAAGCTCCACCTCCTGGGTTCACACCATTGTTCTGCCTCAGCCTCTGGAGTAGCTGGGACTATAGGCGCCTGCCACCACACCCGGCTAATTTTTGTGTATGTATGTTTTTAGTAGAGATGGTGTTTCACTGTGTTAGCCAGGATGGTCTCGATCTCCTGACCTCGTGATCTGCCCGTCTCGGCCTCCCAAAGTGCTGGGATTACAGGCGTGAGCCACTGCTCCTGGCCCCTCAACCCACTATTTTCAAAATAGTCATGTGAAACATGGACCATTATCCCATTTCACAGATGAGGGGACTGAAGCATAGACAGGTAAATGACATGCCCCAAATCATACACCTCAATAAGTGGCAGAGGCAGTACTTGAACCTAGGAGGCCTTACTCAAGGATATATGCTCTTAGCCTCTATGTGAAATGGTTTCTTTAGTTTTCCTTTTTTTTTTAAGACAGAGTTTCACTCTTGTTGCCCACACTGGAGTGCAATGGCACAATCTCAGCTCACTGCAACCTCTACTTCCCTGGTTCAAGCGATTCCCCTGCCTCAGCCTCCCAAGTAGCTGGGATTACAGGCACGTGCCGCCACGCCTGGCTAATTTTTGTATTTTTAGTAGAGACAGGGTTTCGTCATGTTGGCCAGGCTGGTCTTGAACTCCTGACCTCAGGTGATCCTCCCGCCTCGACCTCCCAAAGTGCTGGGGTTACACGTATGAGCTGCCATGTCCAGCCTATGGTTTCTTTAGTTTTCTTAACTTTGTCAAAATCCATCTCAAAAGGTCACCACCTCTGTGAAGTCTTCCATGATTTCTCCCTAGGCCTTAACCAGGGAGAAGTCAGTTCATTTTTACTTCTTCCCAGCATTTTTTTTCATTTTAACGTAACACTTATCAGATTATATCATAGTTTAAAACATTTTAAAAAATATACATTCAGGCTGGGTGCGATGGCTCATGCCTGTAATCCTAGCACTTGAAAGGCCAAGGCAGGTGGACTGCCTGAGCTCAGGAGTTCAAGACCTGAGTTGACGTATTCACTTTGCACAAAAAGATCACAAATTTATGTTTCTGTATCTTCGCCCTACAGCTCCCTTTGTCAGGAATTCCAATCTGTCCCTTACTAGTAACAGCTTATATTTACTGAACACTTACTGTATACTCAACCCACTATTTTCTTTTCTCTTTTTTTGGGACGGAGTCTCGCTCTGTCGCCCAGGCTGGAGTGAAACCCCATCTCTATTCCAATGCAAAAAATTAGCTGGGTCTGGCAGCCTGCGCCTATAGTCCCAGCTACTCGGGAGGGTGAGGTAGGAGAATAGCCTGAACCCAGGAGGCGGAGGTTGCAGTGAGCTGAGATCTCACCACCGCACTCCATCCTGGGCCACAGAGCGAGATTCCATCTCCACAAAAAAAGTACATTCATATTATGTTATACAATATATAATCAATTAGATATTACTAAATTGTTAGTAGTCATTAATTCTGGGTGAGTGGCACTGAGCGGCAGAGATGAAGGGAGAAGTTTCTCTTTCTATCTTACGACCTTCTAATTTCTTTGATTTAGGTTTTTGTTTTGTTTCGAGACAGGGTGTCATTCTGTTGCCCAGGCTGGAGTGCCGTGGTGTGATCACAGTTTATTGCTGCCTCAACCTCCCAGGTTCAAGCCATCCTGCTGCCTCAGCTTCCCAAAGTAGCTATAACTATAGGAGCACACCATCATGCCTGGCAAATTTATTAAAACTCTTGTAGAGATGGGGTCTTGTTATGTTGCCCAGAGTGGTCTCAAACTCTTGGCCTCAAGCGATCCTCCCGCCTTGGCCTCCCAAAGTGCTGGGATCAGAGTTGTCAGTGATTTAGATTTTTAACAAGCATGTGTTACTTTCATATTTTAAGAAATACCAATAGTAATTTTTTATTATTTTTATTACTTTTTAAGAGATGGGGTCTCACTCTGTCACCCAGGCTGGAGTACAATGATGCAATCATAGCTCACTGCAACCCTCTAACCTCTGGGCTCAAGCTACCCTCCTGCCTCCCCCTCCCAAGTATCTAGGACTACAAGTGCATACCACTATGTCCAGCTAAATGTTAAGTTAAAAAAAGTTATTTTGTAGTGACAGGGTCTCACTATGTTGCCAGGCCAGTCTCTACTTTTTTGAAGTCTGTGAGGAACTCAAGTGGTCTCAAGTGATCCTCCCACGTCAGCTTCCCAAAGCGCTGGGATTACAGGAATAATATCTTTTTAGTGAACAGTAATAAACAGTCTTAGATCTTGGCTTCAAGAAAAACAGAAGAAGAACAGATTCTACAGCCAGAGAGGCGTGGCTATGAGTTCCCGCTTAGCCACTGCCCAGTGCCCACTCAGCAACGAGGCTCTTCGTGGAGCCTCCACATCGTCACCTATAAAAGGGGTTAATACCTCCTACGGTTGAGGAGTAAGTGAGCGATGACAGTATAGGCCTCAGGACAGTGGCTGGTATACAGTAAGTGCTTAATAAGTGTTCTATATTATTGTTGTTAAATTGTCACTGTGGGCTAAGTAAGATTCCAGGTGAGTACGATGCCAGCTTCAGAAGCTGAAATAACTTCTAGGTGGGCCCCGTATGTCTCCCATTTCACCCATCCCCCTCCCCATCCCCTAGATCCCCTCGCTGCCCCCAGCCACCTGCACATGATGTTACGCAGCTTCTCCAAGTTGGCGGGAGTGAAGTACCAGTAGTTGCGGTCACACCTCTGCACATCCTTCTCGATGCGGTGCAGGTTCACCGTGTACAGGTCCAGCAGCTCTGGCTATAGGCCACCGGGGTGGGGGGTAGGGGGAAGAGATGAAAAATTACATCTGAGTCCCCACTGGGAGGCAGCAATCCTATCTCCTCCTCCTAAACCTCTCCTGTTGTCACTGAAAATACATCTCCTACCTGGACCAGCCAGGTGTTTGATTTTGTTTTTGTTTTTTGGGAAGGTGTCTTTAATTTGCAGGATGGACATTCTCCCTCAGAGAGTTACAACTATAGCTGGAAGTGAACCTCTCCCTGCTGAAAACTGGACAAGGAGAAGGAAGAACTGAACAGAGGTCAAATTCTGGTAACAAACCAGCCTGGCTGCTTGAACAATTATCTTAATTTCAAAATGGCTCAATGATATGGCAAGAGAATAAGAAACATTTAAGGACCAAAAACTAACCCAGAAATGTGAGAAAACACTAAAGCTGGCCTCTGCCTTAAGGAAAGCTAGTCAAGTGGGAAAATTTAAGCTTAGATTTAATTGTTTTATGCTCCCCCACCCAAGTTGAAGATCTAATGAGAGACCTTCCTACAGGAAGGTAGGACCCCAAAGAGTCACACTCTCAGCAAGGAAAAACTAGAAAAACCCACTAATATTTTGGGATCTCAAAACAATTGCCTGTCCACAGTGACAGCAGTATTTTTCATCCACAGTAGTTCACCTTATGAATGTTGACACTTTGGGTCTGAGTGAAACAGCAACGATACCTGACTGCTTGTACCTTGAACATAGTTATTAAATTAAATGTAAATGTTACCTCCCTGGATAATTAAGAGCCACAAATCAGGTTTGTAACTCATGTGGTTTATAACCCAAACTCCCATTACCTGGGTGGTCTGAAAGATCAGAGAACGTAGTTGTCATCTCAAATTTGTTATTTCCCTAGTACTAGAAAGCAGCAAAAGAATATCCCTCTGTTGAGGAATCTACCTTCTACCTGGGTCTTAAATAGTGCAGCAGATAATATCCCAAGAAATATGAGCTCGTGTTCAAAAAATCACAAAACACTCGGAGAAAGAAGGTGCCCAGAGTGACGGTCAGCACAAATACAAGACAACAGAATCAGAGCCATCAGGGCCTCAGTTGTTAGAGGTATCAGAAACAGATCATAAAATAAGTATGTTTACTGTATTTAAAGAAATAAGGCAGGGCGCCAAGGCTCACGCCTGTAATCCCAGCACTTCAGGAGGCTGAGGTGGGCAGATCACTTGAGGTTAAGAGTTCGAGACCAGCCTGACCAACATGGTGAAAACCCATCTCTACTAAAAACACAAAATTAGCCGGGCATGGGTGTGTGCTTGTAATCCCAGCTACTCGGGAGGCTGAGGCAGGAGAATCGCTTGAACCCGGGAGGCGGAGGTTGCGGTGAGCCGAGATCATGCCATTGCACTCCAGCTTGGGCAACAAGAGAGAAACTCTGTCTCAAAAATAAATAAATAAATATATAAATAAATAAATAATAAAAGAAAAGGTTAACAGTAAGAACAAAAGCTGGGGTGCACTGGTTCACGCCTGTCATCCCAACACTCTGGGAGGTCACAGCGGGTAGATCACTTGAGGCCAGTTCAAGACCAGCCTGAGCAACATGGCAAAACCCCGTCTCTATAAAAAATACAAAAAATGGTCGAGTGCCGCGGCTCACACCTGTAATCCCAGCACTTCGGTAGGCCGAGATGGGCGGATCACGAGGTCAGATCGAGACCATGTGGCTAACGCGGTGAAACCCCGTCTCTACTAAAAGTACAAAAAACTAGCCGGGCGTGGTGGCGGGCACCTGTAGTCCCAGCTGCTCGGGAGGCTGAGGCAGGAGAATGGCGTGAACCCGGGAGGCGGAGATTGCGCCACTGCACTCCAGCCTGGGCGACAGAGCGAGACTCTGTCTCAGAAAAAAAATAAAAATAAAAAAATTAACCAGGCGTGCTGGTATGGTACATCCCTGTAGTCCCAGCTACTTGTGGGGCTGAGGTGGGAGGAAGGATCGCTTGAGTCCAGGAGGTGAAGGCTGCAGTGAGCCATGATTGCGCCACTGCCCTCCAACTGACGGGACAGAAGCAGACTGTCTAAAAAAAAAAAAAACAGAGCAAGAGACTATATGAAATAATCAAGTAGGTAATTTTTATAGCATATTTGAAGAAAGGCCAAATAAAATGTTAAAAAAAATATTAAACACTAGAGACAGATGACAGAAAATAAAATATTCTGGAAGAGAGAATCACTCAATTGAAAGGAGATCTGAAGAAACGATCCAGAATTCAGCACAGAAGGACAAAGAAAAAAAAAAACAAAAACAAAAAAAAAAAAAACCAACACAACATACACACAACAAGAATACAACACAAAACAATAAAAAAATATACGGACCAACAAAGAAACAAAACAACATCAGAGCAAAAAACACATAAAGACGAGAAGAGGCAACAAAAAATAGACAGTTACTAAAACACACATACAAACAAAAAAAAACACTAAAAAACACAACAGAATGAAACAAAAGAAAATGCAAAATAACACATACAACATATAACATAAATTATACAGAAACAACTCCACACAGCCAACAAAAAAAACAAAAAAAACAACCAAAAGAAAAAATAAAACACTTAAAAAAAAGAAAAAACACAAAAACAAAAAAAAACACAAAACAAAACATAAGGAAGTGACACACAGACACACAAACAACTGCAAAACACACACATACACAGAGTCAACCATAACAAACACCGAACCAGCCTCCCCGAGTACGTGGACTACAGAGCGCCACCACCCATCGCCCGCAGTTATGTTTGTATCTTTAGTAGAGACGGGCGTTTCACCGTGTTAGCCAGATGGTCTCGAATCTCCTGACCGTGACCGCGCGGCCTCAGCCCCGACCAAAGTGCGGGATTACGGCTGAGCCACCGC